GCACAGTGATCCGTGACATAACATCCACCCATGACAGGATAACCATGACATGGTGTAAGTGAAAAAATGAACTGGAAAGAGAACATAGTTGCCTGCGAACCAGAAATGGTGGCCTATGAGCAGGTTTTCTCCTGGGTCTCCAACCCATCCTCCAAAATACAGTGAACTGCCACTTCATTAAGTACTCTGCCTTGTATCTACACTCACTGCGTGCGCTTTGTAGTTACAGTTACAGACTGTAGTCCATCTTTTTCTCTGCATACTTTGTTAGCCCCCTTTTACCCTGTTCTTCAATGGTCAGGACCCCACAGCACCACCACAAAGCAGGTACTACTTGGGTGGTGGATCTTTCTCAGCACTGCAGTGACGCTGACTGATCAGACACAGCAGTTCTGCTGGAGTTTTTAAAACTCTGGCCCAAACATGTGCATACGATGGTTAAAGTGTGTGGGCAGTGCAGTGTTAAATGTGGTGCAGAACACAAATGCAGTTACAGGGGCAGTGAAACATAATGCTAAATCAATAGAATCCAGTAAAAGAAGCTGCAGTTAGTACAGTTAACAATAGCACATGCACTGAGGACATCTGGCCTAGTTCTGCAACAACAGCCTCCTCACCTTCATGAGCACACAGCTGCGCCTGAAGAGCAGAGGGAGATTCAGGCTCCCTGAGTATTGAATGCAAAGAACAAAGCCTCCTGAGCCTTCTGCAATCCAACAACAGGCTCAAAGATTCAACTGCCTCACCACTTGAGCAAAATACATACCCTTAATATTTGTATATTAGACCTGTATGTGTCAGGTTTAGGCCCCACTGCCTTCTTTCATCATCATTTTATGATGTATCATTTTATCCATGTTTACATAACCCATGTTGAGGAGTCCAGACTTCACGTCCTCACTCTTGTAACGACACAGGGGAGCATGGGGCATATACTAACATGGGGTAAAATATATATTTAATGTAGTTAAGCTTTATTATCCAGTAACTACAATAAATTACCCAGGAGCTACTATGAAACTACCAGTGGGGGGGACCTAAGGGCCTTTTAGGCCTTAAAAAGGCCAAATGATTTCTGAGAACTGAAAAAGAATCATTTATGTATGTCACTGTTTAGTGTTAGTTGGAAAAAAAGGGTTAAATATTTACAGAAGGGTTATGAGTTTTAATCTTTAGAACTATCCAGTCAGAATATTTTTCTCAGTGGTATCTAAGTAGATACAGCACAGTGAGCTCCTCCACTGGTTAGGGCTTCAGGAGCTGAACTAAAGGCCATACACATTAGATAAACCACCATTATAATCAGGAAGTGATCACATTTTGCTTTGCATTGAGTGGTTTTGTGAGAAAAAAAAACTCACTCTAGGCTTTCAAGAAGTTGTAGATATGTCACTAACTGTGAATACGAGCGGTAGTCCAACCAGGTTTCAGTTAGTCATTAGAAAAGAAAATCAGGGCAGCAGTTCAGGGCTCTTTACTGAAAGTCTCTGTAAAACTGCTATACAAGATAAAAATATGGTAAAGTCTCTTACAAGCTTCAAATAAAACATAGAAAGCTTTTTACAAGTTTCAAATCTAGAAAATGTCCATGTGTGCCAGTGTTAGCTTACAGCTAACATACCACTAGAAATCTCATAGGTGTGCTAGCAGAAATTATCATTATTTTGTAACATTTATGGCCCAAACTGAAGGCCCAGCTCGAATAGTCATGGTTCAACCCTGGTTACTCCTGCATAAGCAGCGAGATGGGGCAGAACATACTGAATTATTTGAATTATTTAAAAATTATTTGAGCGATTTTAACATTTTCATACAGAGAACCTAAACATCTCTGGCACAAATGAAAATACAAACTTTGTTTCAAGCACAACTAAGGGGTTGCTTATATTGCTTCAAAACAGTGCCATATTACAACCACCAAGAGGAAGATTAAAATAATATAGATATTAATTCTTCTTCATTCAACTCAGTAATCACAATGGTAAAAGATACTTTCATGATACAGGATGAAGAAATATCTGCCTGATTGCTGTAAAAATTCGCAAATGACCTAAAAAATCACTATGTGAATACATGACCAACAGCACATTCTACTAGACCCCGTTCATAGGAATGGTTTGAATGGTGGGACAGATTAGAGGCAGAAAAGTGTAAGACTGATCTTACACTTGGTTGTTAGCTTTTGCTTTATACTTTTTTTCCGACTTTAACACAGAGAAACTGCAGAGGAGCTCAGTTTTGTTAATGTTGTCTCTGTGGGACAAACCACATTAGACTGGTGAGGATATACACGTGTGACCCAAGATTAGGAAAGTCCAGAGTAGAATTTTGGCAAAATACATCAGCCATTTAGTGTACAGTGATGATGAATTATCCAGTCTCTCTGAGTGTTTGTCACAGAGCGAGCTCTCTCAGCGTGTATGTAGTACAGAATATAAAATGGCATGCATGTGTATACGAAGTAACTCATTTGCTCAGACAGAAGAAACTAACCGTGTTGAGGTAAACACGCCTGTCCCTTTTTTCTCCAGCAGCTGGAGAACAGTTGGCAGATCAAAAGAGTCCACAGAAACTTCATTAAAAAAAGATTAACAACAAGCTCACGCTTGCCTTTATTACACACTCGCACCACACGCACATGCATAATGAAGCAGGATAATTGATTAATTAAATATGGATAAAATCATATGTTCCTCCACACAACAGTAAACAGCTTAAGGAAAGTCATGCATCAAAGACAGAAAAATGAATATTAGATTTCTATTATCTAATGGGCTAATTTGACTCTGAGGGTCATGTAAATGAAGCAAATTTGTCTTTGTTAGGCTGAAATCAAACTTTAGCGTTAAAATAAACAGGCCTGAGGAATCAGGGGCGGCGGACATCGGGATTCAAGGCTGATTCAGTGCTGCCATCTGCAGGCACTATGTGAATATAGCAGTGAACAACAGTACAGAGTGAAGTGAAACCAAAATAGGAATTGGGGGCTAAATGAGAAGGACTGACAATGGAACTGGGGCACTAGTCTAACAAGACAGCAACATCATATATATATATATATATATATATATATATATATATATATATATATATATGAAAGTTTAGCATGTTCTACCATATTTTGGTAAATACACTAATGTTCAATGTTTCAAAACTACATTTCTTGGCAGTCAGTGTGTTTTTAGCAGTGAAAACACCATATAACATGAGAATAAATACAAATAAACATACAGTGAGTGTCATGTTTTTGTTAAAGTTATTGATGTACAGGTTTAAAGAATACAGTTAGAAGAACACAGTTTTGGTTACTGACTTCTTGTTGCACTCAAGACATTGCATGGATCAGACTTCTTGTTCCAGCACATCCTACAAATGCTCAATCGGATCGAGATCTTGTAATTTGGAAGCCAGGGCATCGCCTTCATCATGTTCCTCAAACCATTCCTGGACAATGTGTGCAGTGTGGCAGGGTACATTATGCTGGTGAAAGAGGCCACTGCCATGAATGAGTGTGTCTGGTCTGCAACAATGTTGAGGTAGGTGGCACATGTCAAACTGATGTCCATGTGAATGCCTGGGCCCAGCAGAAAATTGCCCAGAACATCACACTACCGCTACCGGCTTGTCTTCGTCCTCCAGTGCATCCTGGTGCCATCACTTCCCCAGGTAAACGCCGCACACATACCCAACCATCTCTGTGATGTAAATGAAAATGGGACTCATGAGATCAGTCGAACTGTTCATTGCTCCAAGGTCCAGTTCTGATGCTAGCTTGCCCATTGCAGGCGCTTTTGATGGTGGACAGGGGTTAGCACTCTGACTGGCTACGCAGATCTTTGTGCAGTCGGTGTGCGGTTTGTCTCTCCTCAGACCACTGTCGTTAGGTACCACTGCTGACCAGAAGCACCCCACAAACCTTGCCGTTTCGGAGATGCTCTGACCCAGTCGTCTGCCATGACAATTTGGCCCTTGTCAAAGTCGCTCAAGACTTCACACAGTCCCGTTTCACCTGCCTTCAACAGTTCACTTACCGTCTAATATATCCCAGACCTTGACATGTGCTGTAGTTACAAGATAATCAATGTTATGTGCTTCATCTGTGAGTGGTCATAATGTTTTGGCTCATTTGTGTATCTAATTCATATTAATTTTATTGATGTAATATAACAGAAAAAAACACTTTCTTTTTGTTCTGTAACAGTCTAAATCTGCTACACACATGCATACACACACCTTTCACATGTACAGGACAATAATTTTGACAAACTATCTGAAATCTCCCAAACACTAAAGCACTCACACTAAATATTAAAGTCAAGTTACATACTGATCTGCACCTAATTATTTGGCCTAAAAATCACAACGGTCATTCTCACATAGTCCAGACAGAAGAGTTAACATAAATGGATAGGTTCAGGATAAGCACTACTCATTCATAAACACATACAGAGACTGGCAATTTCACAAAATGCATTCAAAGCAAATACTGTACATAATTATTGTGCACTTAGAACTGATCATACACTTTTACAATAAGACACAAAAACACCCAGGGTACATGAAACCCATTCAACACCACTTTCCTCACAATGTTTGTATAGTCATACAAAACAATATGATTTTTCAGCATAATTCAATGGTTGAGATGTAAACAACATGTATTTCTAAAGTGGTAACTTTATAGGAGAAGGCACATTTTATTAACGTCTGTCATTTTGAAGCATTTTTATTGGTCCATTTAGTATAAAAATTCCCATCCAATATAGTGATGTGTTTTTTCTGGACAGCGATGTCATATAAAGTTGATAATTTAGGACCAAACTTTATCATAATTATCATAAAACAAAGATACAGGCAGCGTATTCATAACCATTTCATGTGATCACTTTCCATGAGAGAGCTTTTAGAAGCATTAAACTCTTCAGACGTCCGGTTCCTACCACCACCACTGTGAACAATTCTGACTCGGTAAGTTTCTCTAGAATGAAACATTTCACATCAAACCACTCCGAATGACTTTGTTTACATCTTAACCATCTAATTCTGCAAAATTTGAAAAATAGGTGGAATTCTCCTTTAATAACATACACAAACAGAAATAAATCAGGATGCACAAAAGCAATACTGAGAAGTTAGCTGCCAAGACAGCCAACCAGCAGAGAGGACAAGGCACAGTAATACAGGCTGTACATTTGCTGTAATCTCATGTCAATCAGTTCTAATGAGGATACTGCAAATGTGAAACTTCATACGTTCTATCTCAACAGTAGGGCTGGTCTTAAAATGTACATGAATGGATATTTATATCAAATCAATACTTCAAAACTATGACTGCTGATTCGCAAATAAATGAACCAGACCTGATGGTCAGTCAGCCGCATAAACATGGCAGGAGGGAGTTCATAAAATGAAAGAAAGTTGCTGAAATTGCCATTAAAAAATTACTGGAGTGAGCAAGTTAGTGTACAAATTCAGATACAGGTGACCTACAATGGTACGGATTGAGAGACAAAAGTCTTTAGTGTCGTATAAAGTACATAGTCTACATCACTTCAAAGCCAGAATCCATTAAACACTACTACAAACATGTCCTTGGATTATCCACACATTAGTCAATGTTTAGTTCTCAGTGATTCAGTAGGTTGAGAGCTGTTGTGATGTGGTAGGAGGAGCTCGGCCTGTAGAAGACGCTGTCCTTCAGCAGAGTGACCGGGGACGCACCTTTGGAAAAAGCTACAGCAGATAAAAAGGATTAGGTCAGACTTCGTGAACAAAATTGAACACATGCACAGCATTTTAGATCCATCTCTGAGCCAGTATCTGCCCCAACACGCTACTTTTAAATGGAAAACTCCAGAACAAAATGCTGTCAAACCTGATTTGTTAAGTGTTCTTTTTAATTACAGAGTGAAAGACAACTTTGCACCTAAATGCACCGGCACAAACTGCAGCTTCTACATCCTGCCAGAACTTTTTTCGGTCACCGCACTGTTGAGTTTAAATGAAACTATAAACAAAGTGCAATACCAACATCTAAACCATAACACGTTGCAATGAATTAAAGATTAAGGCCATCTGAGTCTTTGCATTACAGTGATTTTTTTACGGTATTGTATTGTAAACGGTATTGTAAACTGTGTTTACACTGTTTACTCAAGTTCTACCTCAGTAACTGCTGTGTTTATGTATGTCATCTGACTGCGTTAACGCACAGATCACAACATGTTAAATATCTCTGCACCTTATTCCACAACCCTACCTCATGTCCAGAAATGAGTGCTGTGTCGGCGCTGCACCGTGTCTGTTTACTGTGTCTAATGTCTGTTTTATTTATCGTATTTATTGTATTGTTTCTAGTCTAATTTTTTATTTGCACACTTAAATCTGCACGTTTGCACTTTGTACTATTTTGTTCCATGTTGTGCCGTGTCGCTCCTGCAGGAACGTAATTTCACTCCACTGTGTACTTGTACATAGATGGAATGACAATAAAAGCCTCTTGACTTGACTTGACTTATTTGCTAGGTACACTCTCAGAAAAAAAGGTATGAAACTGTCACTGGGACAGTGCCCCTCTTGTCACTGGGGTGGTACCCTCAAAGGTACATCTCAGTTATTTTAGTCATGGAACATAACTGTACCATAATCCATTGAAACTATGCTTTCTAAGTTGTACTGACTCCACACACCCCGTCTCGTCTCCAGGCTTTTTATTTTATTGTTCTGTTTTATAATATTAGATTATGAAAAGGTACGAATATGTACTTTTCACCTGGAAAAACTTATTTAAGGTACACAGCTGGACCTCAAAACCACTATTGAGGGTACATTTACATGGTTTGTACCTTGGTGAACAAAAAATGAACCTGCACAGAACCTTTATTTTGAAGAGTGTATTCCGCAATGCTGTAAAACCCCCTTTATTGTGCGTAATTCACTGTAATGTGCTGTAACTTAAATGTAAGAATGAGCAATATGACAATCCTTACTGTTATCCTGATCAATTACATCAGAGTATGTTACAATATGCACTTCTGAGCATTTCATGGATATTGACTGTACTTGAAGAACACTGAACTGCATGTTTCATTACAAAGACAGCATAATTATCCTGTTTGACTGAATTTACTGTAGCACAGCACGTGAAACATTGAGTAACATACATGTAGTTTTCGATAATATTTTAAAATGTGGCACTACTTTTTGTTGCCTGTTAAAAGTATCAGTCTTCAAAACAATTAAAGACTGTAATGAATATTATATCCTGTGAAAATATCTGATATATGTTATATTGTTGCCATCCCAACTTTAGTGGCTATTTGTTTTTATGAAACGGCAACAGAATACAATATGGTAAGATACACCAATGTTGAATAAATAAATAAATCATCTCCTTTTAATAATCCCAATGAATTTTTCTGGTAAGCAGTGTAGCTTTTTAACAGGCTCAAGTCAAAAACGATTCCTTGAATAGTACAATAATGTAAAAATGGCTCGTCAGATCAACCTACAAAAATGACTTCTTGTACGTTATTTTTACGATATCACTATCAGGTATAAGGTCTGATCTGACAAGACATTTTTTACAGTGAATGTTTAATATTTTTTAAAAACTTTGTTCATTAATAGAGAATTCAACTGTGTGTGTTCACGTGTGTTTATTGGGTATATTATAATAGCACCATGTGAAAATGGAAGTCTGTTTCATAAACTTTACTACAACAATTGAAAAAACGTAATATATTTTGCATTTAAACACACTGAAAATATAATAATATAATAATAATATAATAGTGATAACATAAAAATAATGCAAAAAAATGTTTATAGTTTCTAAAAGCATTTTTAAGAGATGATATAATAATCTGAATAATGTAACTATTGGTTAGTTACTACATTACAGGTTGCTATGGGCACTCAACTTTTAAATGAATACTCAAACAGTCCTAAACCTAATCTCTATCTGCCACATCTGTATCATACAGTCAATCATTTCTGGCATGATTATCACAGATTATCTCTGTACTTAGAAAAAAACAGAAACCTGTTGACTTTAAACACACTCATAATAGAAGCCAAAGGAAAAGTGCTGAAGCAACAACACTAAAAAAAAGTATTGTCTGTGTAATAATGATCTGGCAGACAGACTTTAGGCTGAAAAAATGGAGAGTTTAGTCCAAGAAATTAAGAGTATTAATTGAAGTCCTCTTACCCCGAAGTAGTTGTTTGGGATGAATCCCTCTCTGCCGCAGAGTGAAGCCCACCACCAGTCCACTCCCTCTGGTTTCTGCAGGATGGTCACCATGTCTCCTTCTTTGAAGCTCAGCTCATCAGGAGCCTGCGCCGGGTAACTCCAAAGAGCGTATAAAACCCCGCTGTTCTCCACCCCCATGGCCTCCTCCACTCCTGATACAACATACACATGCATATACATATTACTTACAACATGTATATATTATTGTATTAAAAGCTACACTGTGTAAGATTTTAGGGATTTGGAGACCTCTCTGGTAGAAATGTGTAATTGCATGCGACATGTGGAAGAGCATTTTGTAATGTGGGCTGTGGTTTATCGGACTCTTCCCTCTATCAGATGCATCTGATTATTGCAAGCGAGTTAAATAAGTATTTAACGAAAACTTCTAACGACAACTATCTGCTACTGGCATCATATTTCAATTACAAGTACAATGATGATTTTGCATTTGAGACCAAAACATCGAGCAGAACCTTTTGAGTCTGTGAGTGTGACGTTTATATGTAAAAATGTAGTGACGTGGTCTGAAAAACTCTCTCGAAATCTGAACTGGTGCCTCTGATTTATAAATGACTATTTCAGGCTTTAAAGGGTGAATCGCAGCAGCGCAGTCACACACCATAATTGAGTATTTTTGTTTTTTTACTCGTATAGCTTTAACATTAGAGCCGGACGTGTCAGTTGGCTGATAATGTCCGATATTGACGATTTGTGGTTTCATCAGTACGGCCGACAAATGTTGCAAATAATGCGTCAATAATTTTCAATTTTTTGGTCGTGGGATCACTTTGATCTCCAGACTATAATGCAAAACATCTGAAAACCCTGTGTTATGCCCTCTTTAATTACTTTCCAGCAATACACAGCGAAGCAGCATCATAGTTAAATAATAAAATATGTAAAATGTATTCAAACCTATAATGTTTGTATTAAATATTTGTAAGGCTGAGTTTCTGCTGTTTATTTCAGTTTAAGCACCGTCACAACTATGTGAATATAAAATTAATATCTAAAACCAAATATCTAATATTTTATCTCCCAAAATTATCGGTTATTATCAGAATTTTTAGCCCGTTAAAATCAGTATCATCCACACAATTTCCACATTGGTCAGGCCCTACTTAACACATACAAATCACTATACATACTTTCCATTGAACTATCTAATGTAACTAAAATGTTTGCTTTGTGGCAATGACTTGTTAAAGGTGCCATAAATAAAGTGTAATTAGAAATTTAAATTAAACTTATCAGTAATAATAATCTTAAAAAAAGTTTTTTATTTACTTCTATGATTGTTATTATTACCTTGGCAACATTGTAAAAGAGGATCTCCCTCAATGTATTCAGAGTTTCAATAAAGTTTGATTGATTGATTGATTGATTATGTAAGACAACTAAAAATGTAACAACAACCAAAAAAGTCTAATACTAACCATACCTAAGAAAAGAAGCTTTGGGCTGTGTTTATTTAATATTTTTTCTAATAAAAATCACACTTTGCACAAAAAACAAATATTTTTTCTCAAGGGAGAAACTGAAAATATCCCTGTAATCTTAGAATGATCATGTTTCCTATCATTGTAGATGCACTTCTACACTTCTAAAGTACACATACACACACCGTGCTTGCATGAATGTCAGTAAACACGACTCTGTGCAAATGTCTGTTCTGTTTCTCTCTGACTTTTGTTTTCTGGTCCCGTGTGCCGTATGTACGGAACCCTCCCTCACCTCTGAGGAAGCTTTCACACTCTTCGTATCCCGGGGCATACGGGTCACACTTCTGAGCCGCTGTGGCTCCGTCGCTCTCTGTCACGGCCATAACAGCAGCACCGTTACGCACCAGAAACTCGCACAGCGCCCGGTCATTACAGGAGGCGGCGCAGTGCAGGGGGGTCCTACACCCACCAGAGAGAGACAGAATGAGTTCAGATACATCAAAAAACACAAATACGCACACAGTCTGAAGTCTGGAATCACATGACTTATTAATGATTATTAACTTGCTTGAAATACTGAAACTGGACACCAGCGTTCTCATCACTATAACCACTTATAACTATTACGAAAACAACAACTAGCAGTAAAATTAAATTATTCACTGTTTTAACTGTAAGAAAATAAAAAGTTTCATTCATTATAACATCCACTGTAACACAAAGGAAAGCGAAGCAGAATTAAGGTGCAGAATTAAAATCCTTCAATGCATGAAGGATAGTTTCTTTTGCTTTGGCTGGGTCATTAAGGAAAACGTACAATGTGACAGGACATAATCTACCATTGTGCTAATTGATGATTACTAAAACTGAAAATCTGAATGAAGGGAACAGTCCAGTTTGAGATTAGTCTTGAGTATGATTTGGTTTCTAACAGAAACAGATGTGCATCTGTTGACAACGATGATACAACAGAATTTAGTGATGCTGAAAGTAAAAGTAATGATGCCAACCATGCTGTGACTCGCTCCCTGCCTGGACAACAAACACAGCACACCAACCAACTCAGAGCTTTCAATGACTCGATAGTCAGCGGTACATGAAGAGCAATATCTGAATATTACAAATAAAGAGGTATTTTTTTCATAGAATTCATAGGTTCACAAAGACAAGGATTTAAACAAGACTGTGTTGAACCTCGTATCTCCAAAATGGGAACTTTACAGGAGAAGGAAAAAACATACTCTACTTTCAATGTAAGTCAATTGAACCAGATTTTTTTCCCAAGTAATTTGGAGTCATTTCTTTTGGTCCATTACTCACGAAATTTACAAACAGTGTAAAGAACAACAGGCATTTTCAAATGATGTCAAAAACTGAAAAACAATAAAAATGGAGATACGAAGTTTTGTTCCGACAGCAGTGATATGCAGTGTATAACAGCTGTGTTTAGAGCTGTTTCAATAAATATCAGTGCACAGTTTTGTAGTTTATACAGACACCATGCATTTTCAATAGTTTATCTTACCGTTTTAAAATACCTACTATCACAGCTTTTAATACTGAGAACTAAAACTGAAACTAAAGAAAAACTCAACTAAAACTTGTCCTTTTTTAAAGAAATTAAAAACAACCTAAAACTACTAAAGCATCTTTACAAGTAACTGAACATAAACTGAAATAAAAAAAATAAATAAATAAATAAAAAAGCAATATAAATTAAATTATAAATATACTGAAATTTTAAAAACTATAAATAAGCTATAAACTATTGCAAGACACCAGAAGTTATTTTTATATGTTTTATTCATTTTTTAATTCAATTATAAATGATATACTGTGATATATATTTATGGTAATTTCTTGTCAATATATCTGCCTTGAAATTTAATCACTACTTTTGTAATATTAGGCTTTCTGGAGTTTACTTGTACTATAATGTCATTCCTGTTGTTATACACTTTCGAATTATCAACAATGATTAGAACTATTTTGGTTTTATATTATTATATTATTATGGTTTTATATTATTAGACACGATTCCAAACCTTTGAACAGTAGAGCACATTCTGCACATACACTCACAGAAAAAAGGTGGTAAACTGTCACTGGGGCACCTTTTTTCGCTGGGGTGGTACCCTCAAGGGTATATCTCAGTACCTTTAGTCAGGGAACATAACTGTACCGTAATCCACTGAAATTATATTTCGAAGTTGTATTTATTCCACACACCCCGTCTCGTCTCCAGGCTTTTATTTTATTGTTCTGTTTTAAGATATTTGCTTATGAAAAGGTACAAATACGAACTTTTCAACTGGAAAAACTTACAAAGGTTCACAACTGGACCTTGAAACCGCTGTTGTACCTTTGAGGGAACATTTACATTGTTTGTACCTTGATGAACGAAAAATGTACCTGAACAGAACCTTTATTTCTGCACACAAGTGAACGAATCAAACTCACCAGCCGTGGCTGTCTGGGGCGCTGACGTTGGCACCGATCCGCACGAGGAACTCTACCACAGCGTAGTGCCCCCCGCAAATGGCATTATGGAGGGCAGTGATGCCTTCATCGTTTGACTGACTCGGGTCGCTCATCTGTTGAAAAAACGCACGTATTACACACAAGTACCACATATTTTAATCCCCTCTCTTCTGTGTTAGAGTAGAATGTGTTAACAGGCTGACCTCCTGCACCGCTCTCTGCACTGTGTCCAGCTCTCCAACCAGCGCTCCGTCCAGTAGCAGCACTAACGGACTGAGACGGGCTCGGGGGATCTGCGCCTTACCAGCAATCCCCTTGTTGGACTTCCGCAGGATGGAGTGAAGACCCTGATGCACATAAAGAGCAATCACAACAAACAACACTGAATTATTTCTGATTCAGAAGTACTTGCATATTTTAAAGCAATAGTTTGGCCAAAAAATGTAAGTTATGCAATTTTCCCTTTACTGTAAATGTAGATCAGCCAAGGCATGTTTGCACTTGCAGCTAACGAGTAATGAAAGCTAATGGATGCTCTAACCACATTGTTTCTATCCAATTTCTGCCCAAATTACAAGCAATAAAATGAAAATACATACAAAATTAATTTTTGTAATAAAAATGCTCTAGTTAATGGCACCTGCAAAAAACTGTTGGTCTGTGGTTTATTGATAAAAAGAGGTTTTTATAGATGTTCTATAGATTTTATAGATGTTTCAATCTTTAATATTATGTACGTTGCAACTTGTGTCTCCAACTTCCTCATAATCGTATTTAATCTTATTTAACTGCTCATAATTGTATTTTTTATTTTATTTGACAGGGTGATTCAAAAGATTCAACCAATTTCAAAATGATTTATTGCACTTGTAAATCATTACAGAACAGTGCAGTAAATTGTAAATGGGTTATGTGAGTATAAGGTTTATTATGTAATTTTACAAGTGCTCAGTATGAACCTCCTCCAGCTTTACAGACAACATCAACACCATAGTCAAATTCATCCCACACTCGATTGAGCACGTAGGGTGTCGCTGCACTCACGGCTCTTTCAGTGCGATTTCAGAGATCATCCAGTGTCTGAACTGTTGGAGGTTTACTGCTGACGAAACAGTCAGAAACTCTATGACCCCCTCTTTCAATTGGTATGTGATTGGTTCCTAAGCACCTCACGGTTGTAAAAATATGGCGCTTTGAAATCGGATGAACCTTTTTGAATCACCCTGTGCTTTATTTTTTTCTATTTTCAAGTCTATTTTTTCAGCCATTGCGTTCTTAAGTAACTCAAAATGATGTATTTACAAGGTGTCTGCCCATTTTTTAGATGACAGTATGTCATACAGTGATGTGTGTCATAATTTATGATTATGAGATAGTATGACCCTATCTCATAATCACAAGCTCGCATAATTTGTTAGCAACATTAGCTTCATAGATCAAAATTAAAGAAGCAAATTTCAGACCACAAACATGTCTTGGCTGGATTTTCCAAATTCCTGCATCACTTTAATAGACATAAACAAAGTTATTCAGAGTGGTTTGACGTGAACTTTTTTAACTGTATGAAAACTTCTTAGCTTTTTATATATTATCCAGAACCACCAGTCAACATACATTTTTATGTGTAATGTTTTAAATCCCCAGGCCAACATTCCTTGGCCACACCACCACCCCCCCTTTTCCAGGGGACCTATATACTTATATATTTTTTTTCTTTCACTTCGCTATTAATATCGCAACTCATCGTTTATTAATGATCATACAGATATAAGGTGATGTGGCACCACAACCACCCAACACCCCTCCAAACACCACCCCGCCACCCTCGCACCCATCCCCTGATTTGAGTGAAACAATGAACAGAAATAACAAAAAAAAACAGAAGTATATAATAATAATAATAAATGATAATAATAATAATGACAAACTGGACATACAGAATAGACAAATACAGACACTTAACAAAACAATAAACAAGACAGTAATGCCCCTTTTTTATGTAATTATAATGTGGGTAGTTATCAAATCCTATGTAGGTGTTTTAACCTTCCCCTGATGAGTTTGGAGAGAGAAATCAGCTCTCAATATATTGTAAAAATTGTGACCAGGTTTCCTTGAATAATTTTGTGTTATTTTTAAAATTTGCTGTGAGTCTTTCCAAGTTGCAGTGATCCATGAGGAGATTAAGCCAATGCTTTATCGAAATTTTGGTTCTGTCCTTCCAGTTCAGCAGTATAACTATTTTGGCAATGGTAAGTGATATGAATATAAAGCATTTGAGGTGATTGGGTGCTGAAAGTGAGGAAAGGTCATTAAGTAGCGCTATAATGGGACATAAAGGGATGACAAGGCCCAAAATCTCTGATAGCCTGTCCATGACCTCTGACCAAAACTGCTGGGTCGGGGGACAATTCCAGAAAGCATGATAGTAGTTGTCTGTTAAAGCTGGACAATGTTGGCATTTATCACTGTGACTAAATCCCATACGGTGTAGTTTAGAGGCTGTGATATATGTTCTGTGAAGGGTTTTATATTGAATTAGCTGGAGTTTTGAATTGCTGGACATAGAGAAGATATCACAGCATATATTTTGCCAGTTGACATTACATGTTTCTTTTATATCTGATATCCATTTTTCAGTTGGGAGTGAGATAGTGTTGTCCTTTGAGGCTGTAAGTTTATATATTTGTGATAACATTTTCTGAGGTTTTAGGGAGTGTAGTTTTAAGTAGAGGGGAGGAGTGTGATTGCAGAGATTTCCACTATTAACTGTCTTCTTTAGAACATCTTTGAGTTGTATATACTGAAAGTGACAATTATCTGGTATATTGTATTTTTCTTTGATGTCATCAAAGGTCATTTTATGTGTAATGTTGATGATGGTAAAATAGTGGTAAATCTGAAAAAAAAAACCTCTCTTAGGGACTATTTTTCCTCACAATGCACTAATGTACCTCTCCGGCATTAATGGATTTTAAAATTAGGTTTTAGGCCAAAACGTTATCTCAAAACTATCGTAAACTTTTGGAAGCATTAAACACTTCAGACATCTGGTTCCTAACACCACCACTGTGAGCAATTCTAATGGAGCATTTCACATCAAACCATTCTGAATGACTTTCGTTACATCTTAACCATTTAATTATACAGGCATTTTGAAAAATCAGTTAAGTTCCACTTTAAGTGTGATTCACTCCATGTTCCCTCACCTTCGGCTGGGCTATGTTGGCATTCATTAGTGGTGGTGGGCTTGGTGTAGGTGGTGAGTTGCTCTCCTCCCCCTCAGAGGAGCTGCTCTCGCTCCCCGTCTCGCCTTTCAGCTGGAGGCCCTTCCTGCGGAACAGTTTATTAATCATCTGCTTGTACTGGTTGGGCTGGATGATGGGCAGCTTCTTCAGCGTATGTGACTGATCCACAGAACCGCGCTTCTTCAGGGCTCGGGGAATTTCTGCCCGGAGCCGCAGTAACTCCTCCAGATCAGGGACTACTGGGACTTCTGGGGCCACCACAGGCTGAAGGCGTGTGGGGCTGAGGGGCCGAGGTGGCTCAGGGTCCTCTGTGCTACCTTCCACCTTCATCTCTTTGCTTTGATCTGCAGAGGGCACTGGACCGTCCAGGACTGAAGGAGGCTTCACTGTGTTTAATCTCTCCACCTCTGCATCCACATCAGCTGAGCTAAGAACTGAGACAGACAGGGTCAGAAAATTAAGTTTCCACATATGTGTTTTGGCTATTAAGTCACTTTATTTACTGTTTGTTTATATATATATATATATATATATAAAAATGTATATGCACACATTTTGACAGTGTAAATGGCAGCTGGTGCTTAAAAAAAATAAAAAACAGAAAAATGTGAGGTTTTATTCTGAGATGTGTGTGTATATACGTATATATATATATATATATATATATATATATATATATATATATATATATATAAAATGTATTCCATGCCTTGTCGTATTATGAATTCTGAATTGTGATATCAGTGATAATCATCAGGTTACCCACTGTAATGGTGCTAAGAATAGATAACTGCTCATTACCTTCCCCATAGTATGCAGGCTGTCTCTGCTCAGAAGGCTGGGGCTGAAATTGATACATGAAGTCTCGGGGCAGGGGCGGCAGAGGCTGGCGGTGCAGGCCGAGATCTATCTCTCCCTCCAGGAGGCCGTGAGGATAGTGGGTGAATGCAGTGTAGTAGGGGTTCTGGAGCCTCATGATGACAGAGAGCGGGATGGGCCTGTGCTGGCGGAGCTGAGGGGCGGAGGGAGGGATGGAGATGCGGGAGATGATGGGCTGAGGGGCGTAAGGTGACTGTGTAGGTGAGGCACGGTCAGGTGGCACGGAGATACGGGTGTTTCTAGGCAATGAGCCCTGAGTTGGTTGGAGATGACGGGGCAAAGGGTCCTACAGAAAGAGGGGTAGAGAGAGAGAGATTAGAATTGCTTTTGGTGTGAGTACTCTGTTGTGGTTAGTTAGAACAAATGAGAACACTGTCATTTTGACCCTGGTGTGCACCAAAAAAGTGCAAAATAGTGATTCTTGACCAGAATATATACACACACACACACACAAACACACACACAATCGAGCTAAAATATTGCAACCACTTGGATAAATCGTATAATGTTGATTAATGTGTCACAATAACCAGTGCATCACACCCTGCTGTGTATGGCACAGACACAGACCGGTCAGAGTGCCCATGCTGACCTCTGTTCACTGTCAAAAGTGGCTACAGTGGCCATGTGGGCATCAGAACTGGACTTTGGAGCAATGCACACACACACACACACACACACACAAACACACACACACAATACAGTATTTAGGCTACAGTGCATGCCACAAAATCAAGCATCCAACTTTACAGCACATCGCTTGTCTAATGTCCCTCTTAATAACCGTGAAATTATTTCAAGCAGCCAACATTTTCACTGTTGATCTGCTGCCACACAAACTGTTTGAACATGTCTGCACTTAGTGGTGCAGGTGAGCAAAGAAAACAAAGGCTGCTTTTAATCACTGTTTCCTTGTTCATACATACATACATCATCTAAACCGCTTATGCTTCTGGGTCGCGGTAGGGGTGCTGGAGCCTATCCCAGCTGTCATTGGGCGGAAGGCAGGATACACCCTGGACAGGCTGCCAGTCCATCGCAGGGCAGACTGTTTCCTTGTTCATTACCATTAAATTATTTGTTGTGTTAAGATTTGTTTTCTGTTTCATTTTGACACTTCGCTGTAGTCCTACTTAATCTTTTTTAAGCCTTGTTTCTCTTTACCGATGGCTAAAATGTTGGTGCATTCCTTACGCGAACTCTGGTGCGAAGGCATAACAGACTAAAGCTGTCTGTACGGACCAAACACAGAATGAACTCACTGAAAATCTATGCCAAGTGCCGATTCTCAATTTTCTCAAAATTTGTGCTTATAAATAAAAGAGGACATATTTTATTAGGATTTAACTTGGACGAAGTTATTGTCGTAGGTACAGTCTTTTGCTGTGGCAAGATGAATCATCCTTTCCATTTTTGCCATGTTTTTGTCAGTAAAACAAATTGAAAAAATTTGGAAATTCTGACTCAAACCTATTCAGTTTAAAATATAAATAGGCTGTAAATGTAATTAATCACCTAATTAGGTCATCAAAATGGAATGCACAGAAAACTAGACTTCTTTAGGAAACAAGACTTCAGAGGGGTCATTAAACAAAGCAAAAGCACACACAGAAGGAGAGAGGAGAAGCAAAACAATGGTGTTTTGTTACTGAATAAACTTGAATCAGCTTCACACTGGCAGGTTAACTTGAGTCGGCTTCCACTTTTAAGTTAATCGGTGGACAACATGCAATTATACTGTTCTGCTGGATCCTAAACAAACATGCTCACACACCTTTCTGGGTGTAGAGGGTGAGTCCAGGTTGGACTCTCTCCAGTTGCTGTTGGGTACGGATGGCCGGATCCACTCGTTCTCTGGAATGGGAGGAGATGTGAGAGAACAATTTTACACTTTGCTGCCTTGTCACTGGTGAGTCAGAGCTTATCGTAGGCTCTGTTTATCTCAGGCAGGGTCAAAAGTACAGAACAGTATAGAACAGTATAGTACAGTATAGCAGTGATAGGAGAACCATCTGCTGCGAACTCACTGTCATACGTGTGGTGTGGTTTTTTCTCATATGAAACGTCCAGGTCTGTTTCATTCCACTTAGAAGGACTCTTCTGCCTCTGCATGCCCTCATCTGAGAGAAAAACAAAGAGAGAATGGTTTAGAGAGGCACTGAACAAGAGGCAAAGCTTTGGTCAGTTTTGTGAAGCTGCAACAACTAGTGGACAAAAGTGGTTACTGAAAAATGTTGCTGCTTTATTGTGTCTAAATGTAAATTACAGACTACATAAAGTACTCTATAAATTAGATAAAACATTCTTAATTGCAGTACAGGTGTAGGGGTGATATGGTTTCTTTTATTCTTTGCGGTATAAAGAATAATGATGGAGGCAATAATATGGAATTAAATTTGTTTTCATTTGACTGCATTACATTTGATATGTTAAACAATTAGAGAAATAATTATTAGAGACACGGGAAGTGGAGATGCTGTGGACGCTGCAGCACCCCTAGATTTCAGGACTGCTGAACTGCGACTGCTAAAAATATTATAAAAAACGAATTAAATGAATAACTATGTATACTATGTAAGACTGTGGTGATTTGGAGTCCTCTCTGGCAGGAAAGTGTAATTGCGCAAGAACATTTTGTAACGCTAGTTGCGCTTTCGACTCCTTCCCTGGGTGGATGAATCTGATGATGGTGAGGGCACTGAAAGAGTATTCAAAGAGAACTCCTGGTAAGGCATGTGTCTTCTGAGGATATAAGGGTGCGTTTATCCTTATGGTTCGGTTCTCTTTGTCCAGACCAAAACAGAAAATGATCGCTGCATTTTAGTTCTGGTTCACTTAGCGTTCATACTGACATATTTAACATCGAACCAATAGATGTAAACAGAAGTTTTTCTATCTTGTGTTCCTTTGGTTGTGCACGATGCAAAGCAGGTTGAAATCCCTGTAACAGCCTCGAGTGGCTTACTGCTTTTACAGAACAGAGAACCCTCAGGACCTTCATGCATTATATACTTTTTATGTGCAGTCAGATGAGTATATTGAGTATTTTATAATGACTTCAAATGTGCTGCAGCCTCATTTTAATACCAAAACTATCTGTTCTATAATTACAGATTCAGAGCTTAAAAACACAAAAAACACATGCACATATCAAAACAGCATCAGAAACTCATCTTTTCCACAAACCAAAAAATTCAGTACAGTGAAGAAGACAGTTCACTGTGTCTTTGGTCCAGTTAAATACCTTTGGTCTGTACTGTATTCATACTTCTAATAAACCACAAGAGTTTGTTCTGAAGTAAGCCTAGACCGAACTGCTCAGGGGGTCTCAGTCTGCTTGTTTGGTGTGCACCAGAGTTTGGATGGTTCTAATGAATTACACTACAGTTCCTTTTAATCAAACCAAACCTGCCAAAGCTGAACACACCCTAAGTGGATTATCTACTATTGTCACCATATCTTCATTAGTATAATGTTGATTTTGCATGTGAGACATTAATATCAAGTCGGACCGTCTTTTAGCACCTGTGCATATGACTCTAATGTGTAAAGACGTATGACGTGGTCCATAATAAACTCCGGCCAAATCCAACCTGATGCCTCTGACTTTTAAATGATTATTTCAGGCTTTACAGCACACTCACAACATATTTTAGTCTGTTTTTTTGCCTCCTGACTCAATGATGCTATTTCTTTCAATTTTAACATAGAACCATCTTTAAAGTCTTTTGAGCTTAGTAAAGACCTGTGTGTGTTTGTTTTAGGGTGAATTTTGCAGTTTAATTCTATGTTTTATTCATATATCTTTCATGCAGTAGCTATGCGCTGTTTAAGTTAATGCTGTATTTTCATTACGGTGAGCCGAATCATTTCCGTTGCCAAGTGCTGGCGCGTTTGTGGAAATGGATGTTGTTTTATCTCCCGCTCGTTTGTGTTTAAGTGTGGAATCTCTGTTCCTGGTTGCTGCCCTACAGTTTTGCTCTTTATCTGACCTGTATGTATTTACACCAACCTGAAAGTTTGAAGGGTATGAAGTTCCTTGGTAGCGTGTTTGCGGCTGGTTGACTTAAAGGACTGGGAGAGGGGGCACGGTCAATCCTTGGAGACCTGCGCCCTGTGCTGGATGATTCATATCCAGCCACTGGATTGGCTGGGAATTGAAGCATATTCGGAGCTGACATGTGGTCATATTTTTGACTGGGCATAGGATTGAGCTCAGAGTAGCTGAAGGATCCGCTCATGCTCCGCTCATGTGACCTCACGGGGGTAGGTGAGGCCCGCCGTTGAGTGTGTGGGGACATGTTGGGAGGGGTCAGATGCCCATGGACTTTGAAGGACTGGGCAGAGGTGTATGGGTAGGCCTGGGGTGTCTGAGGGCTGGGGGGGAAGGGTGGGTTTCTGCCACTGGTGATAGTGGAATCCACTGAGCGAGTGCTGGGCTCTGTAGACCTCGTTATGGTTGAAGTCTGGGGGAGAGACATGGTGGCTCTGCTGCTCACAGTGCCAGAGGAGCCAGACATGCTGGCCCCAACACTGCTGCCGCCGCTGCTGCTGCTGCTGGTGGTGGCACTGAATGTGTTGGTGGTGGCCAGGGGATTGGAGCTGATGGTGGCCTGGGGATTGGAGCTGGAGCTCTACCATTATAGAGTAACAAAAATGTTCAATTATAAAAAACATATAAAGGTAAGAATGTAAAAGAACAAACATAATATGATACTGGTGATAGAGCCCAAAAGAATACAGATGAACTGGAATCATTAAAAGCATATCATTCGCTGTCATAGGAAAACCTCATCAATGATGACCGTCGGAACCATGAGGCAAGCATGGAATTGGACAGACAGAGTCGCACTCAGTGGAAGAACCAATCGAAATCTCCATTTCAGCTGCGGACACTGCCTAGCCAATGACCCTTATTGTGCGTGTACAATATTTTAACAGCCTGAAAAATGCCCTGATTTGCAGTTAAATAATCGAAGTGACTATCAATAATATCAATATCAGCAATAAGAGTAAAAATAGAAAATAACAATAATATTAATAACTTTTCACACAGCAAAGCTGGCACTAAAGTGTATGTACTTATTTTTTCTGTACACACTGATATATAGTAATATTATTACTGAAGCAGCCAGTGTGTTGGGAAAATGATCACACTACACAATCAGATCGGTCTACCACTAAAAAGCAATGCCATTTTGTTCATTTTCACTTTTCTTTTGTTTTTTTCAAATCGTGTGATTGTAACAAGACTATTTAACCTTTGGTCAATGGGGGGCGGAACAATTATATGTATAAGAGGGTAAATTAGGATGTGTCCATTGCAAATGACATGTAAATGAGGTACCCATGAGTGGGCCCTTATGTCCATGCACTGAGGAAACTTCAGTTTTCCATGATTTTTCCTTTAATGTTTTATATACTTAATTTACTGCACCCAATTAAACAAGGCGAATTATGCTGTCTTTGTAATGAAACATGCAGTTGGTCAGCGTTATCTACTGAGAATATCCACAGTATGGTCCGAAAAGCATACTGTGACATACTTTATTGCAATAATGAGTTTAAATGCACTTAATATTCTGATCATAATCAGATTTTGGTAGTTATCTGATTATTCAAATGTCATGTAAACAGCATAGTCTGATTTCTTAGATCGGATTAAGGCCTAGAAATCTTATTAAGAGATCTGATGAAGAAAGCTGGATTTTAGCTCAGTAATCGGCTCAGTCTGTGTGTGTGTGTGTGTGAAAATAGACTGTTGTACTGAAAATAGCAAGCAGCGTTTAACACAGCGCTCGCGAGATGCGACAGAAAACTTTTGGAGCGATGCTGAAACCAACTACATACTTGACAAAACAAAGAATTTGAATATTCGTCGTCTCGTAGATGATATATATTTATATTTTCCACTAAAGTGACTCATTGTTTAAAGAAAAAAAAACTTTTGTTTTGTTTGTGCCACGTCTTCTTCTGTGAGTTTATTGGCGGGTTGCAAAGCAGAAATCTGACAACCGCCTGCATGTAAACCTGTTGAAAGGATTACTTACAAAATCTGATTTCCTGCAGTTATCGGATTATTAAATGCATGTAAACACAATCAGTGATACCGTTTCTAATGCTCACGCCTACATAATTACATCCCATTAAATATTAAACACTTTAAAATGGTCAGTAAAAAAATAGGAAAATTTATTCATCATTTATTATCGGTGCACTCTGCAAGTCAAAAATAGGCTGAACAAATTCATTAAATCAGTCACTTAGTGAGAGCACAGAACAGAACATGGAGTGGGTGACTCTGAATGAGTGCGGCCTGTGGTACCTGTGCTGAAGAGCATTGGGGAGGGACAGAAATCTCCTGCAGGAGAGCGCTAAACTCACGAGACAGCTCATCTGCTGTGGCTAAGGATGCGTTCAGGTCATCATTGATGGTCTGGACTGTGGACAGACACACAGAGAAAGACACAGACAGACAGACAGACCCACAGAGGGCATGAGTGTAAACAGCTATTAAACCCTTAACGGGAAATAAAGTCATGTCAGCTCAAGCCTGGTATGAAACCATGTGACTTCAACTGAATTAAATAAAAGAAAATTCTCTAGTGTGCAACAACTATTGGTAAACTTGCTGCAACACGTTTATGATGCCTGGATGTAAGGGCAAATACAGCAGGTTGTGTTTGATACTCACACAGCATGCTGCTGCCGAAGTTGCCTTGGGAGCTCATGTCGTCAGGCTTCTATTCGGACACGTATGATCGAACTTCTCACTTATTCTGTGCACTTTCTGGATGGTGTAAAGAAAAGACAGTCAGTTGCGATTACACAACATAAACAAAAGATTAGTATTAAATTGCTAGCATTGTATTGCTACATATTTGTGATTGAGACATGCCTCATATTAGGGTTGGGCGATCTGATGATATTTAATTGTAATCGAGATGAACAATAGGCATTTCTGAGAATATCGCAGATATCGTCAGTACTTAAAGAACACCAACTGAATGATTCATTGCAAACAAGCATAATTAGTCAGGTCAAACTCAATTTAGTGCAGTGCAGTATGTAAAATATACAATATAAAATATAAATATAAAATAATAATCACCATATTTAGAGTTCGATGGTTTTTAAATGTGACACTACCAGCACATTTTGCCTGTGTAGCACATTATCGTGTACCGTGAAAATGTCTGTAAGCATCATGATAAACTATTTTGTCAAAATTGCCTACTCCTAGCTTATATTATTAAAAAAAATCAGTTAAAAATTGGTAAAAAGTCTAGGATGGTGATTGGTTAAAAGGCTCATTTGCATGTTGTAGCTTCCTGACATATCAGTATCACAAAGCTGCTATCATGATAACAATTAGCAAACAATGTATTGTGCAGGCATTTCAGACAATCTTGCACAAAAGTGGGAAATACACTAGAACTTATATAACAAAATAAAGTACACCAAAGTAAAGGACTGACACTCAAGTGTGAACCTCAAATATCATTATTTCTTATAATACATGACTTTTTGCTGGGGAGCAAATTTCTATGAATTCTTTTTAACATCTGCTTTCTTCACTTAAACCTAATAGTAGGCCTATGTGTGCTTCTTTCATCAGTTACTTACTGTGTCAAGAATGTGTCAAGAACAAAAGTTTGGTAGTTCTAGCTACTGCACACTGAACACTTCATCAAAATCCCCAGCTCCTGTTATACTGTCAGACTATCGTTTGAAGACTGTACTGTGGTATGAGAACCTCAGTAGCACTCTGCTATTACTGTCTTCAGAAATTTCTGACAGTACTATAAATCTTTCAGCTGTTCCATCTGAAAGGCAGTAAGACCCACGTTACTACATGCACCAAGTACTACATGCAACTGCCCTTGGTATGGGGCAGCGGTGTAGCTGCATACCGAGTTTTACTGGGCTGTTTCGACATACAGATTGCTAAAGGTGCGTTTTTGATTAAGCCCACTCTTGCAGTCAGTCAACAGACATGGTGATGTGATCAGAGGTAAAAATAGACACGTGCTATTCTACACTAGCAGCATGACACACTGACTAACCTTGAGTAAGGTTTGCTAATGTGAAATATGCAGCATCTTAGCAGCTAAGTAGGCTATTAGCGACTTTGTAAAAGATAGACTGGCGTCAAAATGAGGTCAAAACATACAGAAACGGTTTATAAACGAGTGATGTCAAGGGCAAAAAGGTATAACCGTTTATTTTGCACTTTTTTATGTTGTGTCCATTCTAAAATGGATGGACGAGAGTTTGTTGACCGTGTGTGCTGGGCTGGTGCAGATTTATAGTATACCCACTTTTTTCTTTGGACTACACCACTGGTGCAGGTGCTCCACGGAACACTAACTTTAGAATAAATTCAGACATACATAATATGGCCAAAAGTATGTGGACACCTGACCATCACACCTATATGAATGTGTTGGACATCTCATTCCAAAACCATGGGCACTACTATGGAGTTGGCCCCCTTTGCATCTATAACAGCCTCCACTCTTCTTGGAAGCTTTCCACAACTTTTTGGAGTGTGTCTGTGAGAATTTGTGCCCATTCAGTCAAAAGAGCATTTGTAAGGTCAGGCGCTGATGTTGGATGAGAAGGTCTGGGTCACAATCGACATTCCAATTCATCCCAAAGGGGTTCAGTGGGGTTAAGGTCAGGGCTCTGTGCAGGCCACTGGAGTTCCTTCACACTAAACTCATCAAACCATGTCTTTATGGAGCTCACTTTGCGCACAGGGGCTCAGTCATGCTGACACAGGAAAGGGTCTTCCTGTTGCTACAATGCTGGAAGCAACTAATTTTTTAAATGACTTTGTAAGCTGTAGAATTAACATCACCCTTCACTGGAACTAAGGGGCCCAAACCCTGAAAAACAGTTCCAGACCATTATCCCTCCTCCACCTAACTTTACTGTTGGCACTATGCATCCCGGTATGTAGTGTTCTCCTGGCATCCGCCAAACCCAGAATCATCCATCAGACTGCCAGATAGTGAGGCATGATTAAAGAACACACTTCCACTGCTCCAGACTCCAGTGGCAACGTGCTTTATACTACTCCAGTCGACACTTGGCATTGCACATAGTGACCTTAGGCTTATGTGTAGCTTCTTGGACATGGAAACCCGTTTCATGAAGCTCCTCATGCATAGTTCCAGTGCTGACACTGCTTTCACAGGCAGTTTGGAACTCTGTAGTGGGTGATGCAACTCCCACCATCAAGGCCATTTTAACAGGCTTAACGCTTCAGCACTCTGCAGCCCTGCTCTGTGAGTTTGTGTGGTCTACTGCTTTGTGGATGAACTGTTGCTGCTCCTAGACACTTCCATTTCACAATAGTAACATTTACAGTTGACCAGGGCAGATCTCACAGGGAAGGAATTTCACAAACTGACTCGTGGCAGAGGTGGCATCTTATGACAGTGCCATTTAAAGTCACTAAGCTCTTCAGTATAAACCATTCTAATGTCATTGTTTGTCTATCTAGATTACATGGCTTTGTGCTCGATTTTAAACACCTGTTAGCAATGGGTATGGCTGAAACGTGAATAATCAGGAGGTGTGTCCCTATACTTTTGGCCATACAGTGTAGTACGGCCTGTAGCTGATGATTAATTGCCCTGTAAATAACTGCTTCAAAAGTAACCAAACTGGTTTATTAGCAATCTTTCCTTGCCATCTTTTCTTTGGGGTTTATACTATGTTGTACTGGCATGGATCAAACATGTCAGCGAGAAGATACACTGCACTACACTTAAATGGCTGCGGTAAGTCAAGCAGAGTTGAAATGTTTCCCAGTGAGAAAATGAGCAAATGCACTGGTTCTGCAACATTAGCTACCTGGCTGACAGAAACAAACATTACTTAACGATATCCAGTTAAATGACGTCTCTGTGAACGCATGACCTACTTTCTTTTCACATTTCGCACTCCGCTTATTGTGAGAATAGGACTGTGAAATCTAATGACTGTAAAACAATGCGACTGCAATCATCTCGCAATACTGCAACTCGATGACTGTGTAAAACTGACAGGCCTATAAATGAATATGACAGAACTGAGAAAAAAAGACTGAAAAGATTGTCTATAAATGTTACAGCACATGTATATGCAAAATAATATCAGTCTATAGAATATGTATATATACACCGATCAGGCATAACATTATGACCTTGTTTCTAAGCTCATTGTCCATTTAATCAGCTCCACTTACTATACACTGAGGTGTTTAAAAACTCCAGCAGCACTGCTGTGGCTGATCCACTCAGACCAGCGCAACACACACTAACACATCACCACCACATCAGTGTTACTGCAGTGCTGAGAAAGATCCACCACCCAAATAGTACCTGCTCTGTGAGGGTCCATGGGGGTCCTGCCCACTGAAGAACAGGGTAAAAGGGGGCTAACAAAGTATGCAGAGAAACAGATGGACTACAGTCTGTAACTGTAGAACTACAAAGGGCACCTATATAGTAAGTAGAGTAAATGGACAATATATAAATTCTACGCTCATTGTCCATTTTATCAGCTCCATATTTATACACACACATATATATATATATATATATATATATATATATATATATATATATATATATATATATATATATACACATATTGCTACTAGCCAGAATATTAATTTGCCTTTTACATTATATGAACTTATAACAATGATCAAAATAAATGGTCCAAAATTACTTTACATTAACATAAACTTGAGCATGTTTATTTACCCGTCCTTAATAAAACTTGCCTTTTAGGAGACACACAATTTTCTCATGATACAACTCAAAACCAACCACTGCAGCATCAGTGTTACTTGACCAAAGTGAAGTAAACACAGGTGTGTCCACAGGCCTTAGTGCAAACTGAAGGCTGCACTTAAAGATAACATACCAAACCATAAAGATTAGATAAGACAGGCTACAGTTTCAACAGGAGGGAAGAAAAAGCCCGACTGGCATTTCCCTCCAGTGTGTGTGTGAGAACTTTATGGGCTGTTTTATTACCCTCAGCATAGTTTCAGCTCATTTCTATTCACTGGACCTCTTTGACTGTCCCATAATTCTCTGAGCCCAGAGCTGGTGTACAAACTAGCATTGCACCAACTTCCAAACAGCTTCTCCTCTCTCTCTCTCTCTCTCTCACACACTTTTTTGTTTCTTTCTGTTTTTCTGTCTCTCTTGCTCTTTCTGTCTCTGTGTATCTCTCTATCCTTTCTCTCTCTCTTTCTCTCCTTTTGTCTGTTTCTCACTGTCTTTCTCTATTCTTGTCCCCTGACTCTTTCTCCTCTCCCCATCTTTCTCTCTCTCTCACTTTCATTCTCTTCTCTCAGTCTCTTTCTCTCTCCCCTTACCTCTTTCTCTTCCCTCCCCCTTTCTCTTTCACTTTTTTGTTTATCTGTCTCTCTCCTTCTGACTCTGTGTATCTCTCTCCCTTTTTCTGTCTGTTGCTGATTCTGTCTCTGTTTTTCTCTCCCGTTTCCCCTTCTCTCTTTCTTTCTTTCTCTCTGTTTCTCACTCTTTCTTTCTCTGTTCTTGTCCCCTAACTCCTTCTCTTCTTCCCATCACTCTCTCTCTTGGTCTCTCTCTTTCTTTCTCTCAGTCTCTCTTTCTCTTTCCCATTACCACTTTTTCTTCTCCCTGTCATTCTCCCTCTTTCTCTTTCTCTCTCTCTCTGCCTCGCCCAGGGCATGACTGCACTTTCAAAAGCCAGCTCAGGCATCCACTCATTTTGTGGTTTCAGAAACAGAAAAGCGTTCGA